CCGTGCGCGGTGCGCCGGTGGCCCCGGGCCGGGCGCACACGCGCGCCCGCGCGCGACCACCCGGACACAAAAATTCATGCCTCCACCCTGTGGGTCGGAGAAAATAGCACACATTCCACCGCAAGGCCGGGGGAGCGCGCCCGCTCGCGCACGCCCGGAAGCGTGCGCGCGAGTGTCGGAATGGCATTTGTGCCCGTGACCCGCAAACCGCGTTGATGCCATACACCCGGTTAAGTGCTTCGGCGTTTATTGGTTAAGGCTTTCGGGCCCCCGTCCGGTTGTGCGTGTGCGTGTGCGCGCGCGCGTGCCGAAATGCGCTCACGCACGGGCGAAGGCAGGGAGAAGGCGGCGGCATGTATGCGCGCGCGCGCGCGTGTGTGTATATGTCGTCCCCTGTCTCCCCCCTCCACGGTGGGGGAGAGGGGCGCCCCCTTTTTCCGCCGCCCCTGTCCCCGACACAAGAGGAGGAGGAGGAGGAGGAGGGGGCTACAGGAGATCGGGCCAGGAGGCGGCCCGGCGTCGGTTCCCCCCCGGGGGGGGACATGTGTGTTGTAGGGGGCCGGTGCCATGTCTCTAGGTGGGGGGGGGGGGGGGGGGCACACGGACACACACGCAGGCGCACAGATGCGGCTCCCTCACCAGGCGGGGCAGATATGACGAGGGAGATGATGGGCAGACCCCGCCGCATGGCCGCGGCATTTGCAGGCATCCCTCTCTCTCTCTCCCGCCCCCGGCCCCCTCCCCTCGGGGCGCTTCCGCCCCCGGCTGGCCGCCCGCTGGCTCTCAATCAAGTTCGGTGATGGTGGCCGAGGAGGACGCCGCCGCGGCCCGGGGGAACCGGGCCCCGCTGACGGTCAGGTCGTTGGCCAGGCCGTCGGAGGTGAATAGCTGCCGGCAGACCACCTCGCGAGCATACCGCGAGCCCTTCGGGCCGTCGGACGCCCCCGGGCCGGAGGAAGAGGAAGAGGGCGCCCCCAGCTCGCAGGACCCCTCGCAACTGTACACCAGCAGGGTGCCCCAGTCGATGGAGTCCACCCGGGTGTGGTCGACCTCCATGAAGGCCAGGAGTTGCGGCATGACCTGGAACTCGAAGGTCCGCGCGCCGCCGCACCGGTCGCAGGGCGGCACCCGGGGGCCGGGCTGCACGAAGGCGCCGGCCGGCAGATCAGCCGTCAGCGGGCGCTCCAGGTTGCTGGCCCACAGGGGGATGGGCGACCGCCGGTCCGGGAACCGGGCGTAGCTGGGAAGGGCAAGAAACCCGGCAGGGCCAAGCAGGTGAGATGGGATGGGCGAGGCGGCGGCGGGGGTGGTCAGATCGCTGGAGACACAGCAGGCAGGCATGTGCCGGCCCGTCTCCGGGCGGGGGGGG